GGCCATGAAAGGTACGAAGTTGAACGGTTTGAGCTGCAAACGCCTGGGTGCTATATTTTTTTATGTTTTTGATGCAACAGTTTCAGTTTCAATCGGGTGGTTATCGAAGCTCTTTCAGTGCGGCCTTGGGTTTCTCCATTAATTACAGCCTGTTTGCGAAACAATTTCTTTGACATGAACATTCATGTCTTGAAACCAGTGCCTTGTTGGAAATAAGAGCCGCTTTGTCTATACTATACCATGGTCCATATTGTGATGCACTACTTCTTTGATTCGACGAAGCAGGTACCTTTGTCGTGAATGCCAGTCAAGTGACTTGTGGTTGCCGTGTGGATCAGTGTCATTAACGGGTTGTCCGATCCGAACGTCTCTAAGTCACGGACCCTCCAGTGACCCTCCAGTGTGGCGCCTTGGTCCAAGGCTGACCTTAGCTCCCAGACTCAAGCTAAGGCATTCACATTCACATGCCTTGCCCCTTTGGCCTTCCAGTGATCAAACTGATTGAACTGCTCTTGTCCCCACAGTCACGCTCGCCGAACATGCTTAAGATCAAGGTGCGCATGAGTGCATGCCCCCCTGAAGTGGTGCGCGAATGTCTGCTGGATCCAGGATGCTACTTTGCACTTCCTTTTGCAGCTTCAACATGCCAAGTCCATTTGGACGTGGCCCATTCCCACTATTTGTTTGAGTAACTCAATCAAGTGTTGACATTGGGCCATTGACATAATATTGGGAGGCAGACTTGCTCTTCATTGATCAGACACCTTTGAGCCAAGTGGCCGGCTTGCCTTTGCACATTTGCTGCTCAGATGACACAGCATAGTCACGTCATGTCACGTCAACAGAATTGTGAAGGATTCATAGCCTCTTGAGCAGTTCCAAACATCGAATCATATCGAATCACTTGCTTACATGTATACTGCAGCAATGGTTCTGACTTTTGACGTCGCATGCCCCAAGAGTTGTCAAAGGGATGGCAGCATCAGCCCTTTGACACTGGACATTCTAGAACATGTCGTAGGACGTCGTAGGATTGCCACTGCGTTCTGCTGGCCATGGCTTGATTGTAGATGCATTTCATGCTTCGTAGGCCTTTGGAACCGAAGCAACAGGCAAATGCAGCCAGTGGGAGCGCCTGAAGCAAGACGTGGAGCGACCACGGCTGCAAAGGCCAAAGCTGGAACCTCTACAGATGCTGCGGACTTGGACATTCAGGCGTGGTACCTGCTTCACGAAGGCTTTTCTGACATACCCGAGGAGATTGTCAGGCATATATATAATATATATGTATGTAACATTTTGAAATTACTGCCTAGCTGCCTAGCTGTAGTAGATGTCAGGCCACTATCATCACTTGTGTGGTCAGGTAGAAATTGGAGAGCAGTTTGAAGAATGCCTGGAGTCTCGGTAGAGCATTCCCATCAGAAAGACGATGAACATCCTTCATTTTTGTTTGTTGGGGAGGCTTTGACACCTTAGCCTTGTAATTTTCATTAAACATCTATATACAGTACGGTATAGCTACTAGTAACAAGGGCATCGCTACTAGTAGCTTCTAGCTACACGTAGTAATGCCCTGCTTACTAGTAGCGATGCCCTTGTTACTAGTAGCTTCTTGTTCCTAGTAGCGATGGCCTCCACCCTAGTAGCGATGGCCTCCAACATCCTTCAACCTCCTGGCTGCTTGTTGATCCAAGCCGAGGAGCTGAAGTGGACCACCACTGAGACATGTCGGGAGTTTTTTTCTTGAGATGGTCCTAGACCGTGGTGCCAGCGGGAAGCCTTCGAACGACAAGGATCTGAAGCCGGCCAAGGATGCCACAGTGAAGCGGGTGAATATGGGTCGTGATACATCTGGCTCGATTCAAAACATGCCGGAAGGAAGGAGCTTCTTGGTGAGGGTCGTCGGCAAATTGCAGGTGGGCAAGGAAGTCTACAGCCCATGGACCAGAGCAATCACCTTGAGTCCAAAGACACGGGACAAGGACCTAGGGAATTTGGATCCAATGAACATGCCGCGAAGCTTGCCTTTGCTTAATGAGGGGCCAACAAAATTGGTTTTGGAAGTTCTGTCAGCAGTCAAGTTCTACTGGGGTGGGATTCATGGTTTTAGTGATCGAGCAAAGTTTGTGCTCACTTTAAACCGCCCAAGCACGTTGACGAGGCATGAATTGCAACAATTGCCCTTGCGCGTGTCTTGTCTGAGCTTTGATGTTCGGCGAACTGGTTGACGCTGTCGGCAAAAGTTGAATCAGATCCTTTCACCTGCGGTGCCGGATGTGTGACTACAGCTGATATAGAACATTGAACTATGTAGATATAGATCTACAGGTCACTCGCAGCACTCACAGCTCCTGGTTTCCATCCCGCACGCACACGCCACCTCTGTTGCTACACCAGCTGGTTTGTGATCAGTGGTATGCAACAAGAACTTATTAGTAGGGGGGGCTGCAACTTGGGTCATGCACGAAGTCGCACAGATTTGAAAAAACCATGCTCGGCCCCCCCTACCCCACTTTGGAATACTTTGGATGGGGCAGCTGGAAGTTCACCAACCCACCTGAGCGATTGAATGTTGCTCATTTGAAGTTATTGATCACCGTGCGCTTAACACGTGAACAGGTGTAAACAAACTGAAGTTGTCAGGCACGAACAGGTACGCATCATGCTCATCCGCTTGGGGTTGGCCCATGACTGCTCGTATGCTCATGGCACGACATTTACTATACAATGAAGCGACATCTACGGCGCAATCGATTTTATCAACAGCACCCATTTCGATAAAGACATGTTACCGGCTATATACTTCTGCAGTAACAGTTAGACCGGAATCTAGACGTGGTGTCTATGTGAGAGAAGATGTTTTTCTTCCTTTTGTTGGTCCAAACCTCATATTCTACTTAAATATGTGTAACTAAATATGTATTCCGACTCTCGCTCGTTTCTTGAAGCTGCACAGGTGCTACGTTCCCTTCCGATGGGGCTTGAACTCTCCAGGGAGGCTGAGATGCAGGCGTTGTGGCTGTCACCATACTGAACATCAGACACTCGACTTTCCCTCAGGATGGGGTTTCATAGATTTACCAGCAGGTGTACAGGCGTGAGCTTTTTGTAGCATGGAAAGGCACTTGTGTTTCTCAAAGGTTCAATGGTACTGCGAAACATTCGCCTACAAGCTTTCCAGCGAACCAAGGGTGAAACTAAAGCTAGGAGGTGATACTTGTTTCAACTTAGTCCATTGCAGGCAGAGAAGTGTGTTTCACTTCCTCTATATATTTTCTTCTGAATGATTGCTGCTGTTTCTGAGATCTCCCTTCCTTCTTCCCCTTGTTTGACATTGCTGGATCCTCATTAGCTAAGGATGGTGGAAGTGGGCGAAATATTGAAAGCTCGCGAGGTGAAGGCCAAGTCTTCCATGGGTCGCGATGTGACTCTTAGCTGCCCCAGTAGCCGGCTGTGAGGTGAGGCATTGGAGATCACAAAAGAACTTATGCGGTCTCGGTGTAAGTTTATATCATCAACTGCATCATGGCAAGTGTGTTTATTTGAATGCTTTGGACATCGGACTATAATGTTTAAAGCCTCATACCAGCACCGAGATGTGTTGCCTCAAGAAGGCGCTCCGGCTGTATCGCATTCCAAGGACACCACTGCCGCAAGAAGCCTTGGATTGGGATGAGCGAGAGTGTTCCATGTGGTTCCTCGTCACCGTTCATGAAGTGCCCGGAAGTTGTGGCACCTGGACATGGATTTAGATGTGCTCTATTTAATTCCTGCCCCAGTCATTGAGTCACTTATATTCACTGATATATCTTTTCTTATACATCAGCTTGCTGATGCAGCTACAGAGGCAGCGTAGCCCACAGAAAGCAATGGCATCCTACTGGCCTAGTGCATAGAACCACCAAGAGCAGTTCCATGAAGTGAACCTCCGAAAGCCTTTGTACTAGCACTGCTTGAGTCTCACCTTTTGAAAGTCTCTCAACTTTTCAGGCCCTGTACTGGAAGTCTCAATTGAGTATCACCATCCTCTCAAATCCCAATTTGTCCAAATAATGGTTTCTTGGTTGACATGTCTTCAGCGAATCAACCTGTGAGTGCTCGTGGCAGGTTTTGCTCGGGTGGTGCCGTCCACCCGAGGCAGATTCGGACGAAGTCTCGGTCGAAGCCAAAGATGGAAGAAGTCAAGGGCCGTGTGTCCATTGCCTTGCTGGCGGGTTGCTTCCGGCTCAGGGCACGAATCGAAACAGATGATAATTACTGTAAATGAAAGACATGAACGTGAGCAAGTGTTTGGCATTCTTTGTGCAGGCGTAGAAATATGAAGGATCCCTGTATGCGAAAGCCCACTGCCAGGTAACACCAACAACTGAAAGCAGGCACAAGTTCCATGAACAGCTGTACCGGCTCCTGAGCAGAACTGGAGGGTACTGCAGGTGTGTCGTACTTGGATGAGGGATGATGAGGGTGCAGATAGCTGTTTTTGAAGACCATTGACCTGGGTGATGTGGTGGTTGCCTCTGCTATAGACGGGCCACGTCTCTTGCCATAATAGTATTGGTGGTGATCAGGACCACAACTATGTGTATATATATATATATATTATACAATATAAACTATATGTATAAGAATGAGTTTAATTGGATCACGGGGCAAGTCACCACTACCTAAAGCCAGGCGTTCGAATCCAGATAATTAATTTGGTAGAGGGCCTTGTATAGATACTCCGGAAAGTGCAACCGTTTCTCATGCAGCTTCAATCCGCCACATTTGATTATTCTACACTTGGCCCACCCTGCATGTTCACACTTTCCACATTTGCATTTTCCACCAGCAGACATGTGAGGTGCTTTGACGCACAAACATGGCCTGACAAGGATGGTGCAAACCCGCATTCTGCACTTGCAAGACCTCTCTTCCACAGCCGTGCTCACAATGCAATCCTTATTGCAGGTTAGTCATGCTCACACCGTTTGCTTTTACCATTCTTTAGGTTTCAGTAGTATCTTCATATATTCATCCTGCATGGCATGGTGCATTCTTTTTATGTTCGACTTCTTAGATTTAGATTTGAGGCGCTGTTCATTTTTAGGCTTTGTGACATTGCCACTAGTGAACACTTGCCGCACAGGAGCTGGTGATTGTGGAGACATACACTAGCTCACCTTCAGAGTTTTTTTGCTCAGTGGCTTGGCCTCAGCGATGCAACCTCTCGGAACTCTGAAGAACCCAACTAGCTTTATATTACATGTTTCCACCTTTGCAAGGACAAACAAGATTTTGTTTTCCTCAACATGGATGCATTAGACAAAGACATTTCAGAGCCGCTGATGACTGGTTCGGGCGATCGTGAGTGCAACCAAGGAAGGCCCAAATGGATCCCAGGGTGGCCATGCTGGCATGTGAGAAATTTCCAGGCCACAGGAGTCAGTCTGACACCGCCACCATGTCTTTTTCACATCATGCCATGTCAACTTGTGAGGTATTCTGGGTGCCCTATTGTACCCTCACATCCCCAGTGCTTTGCTTGTTGTCACCACTCTGTTCAAACGTTCAGTTGAGTACCTTAGCATACTGCACCGCATATTGCCAGGTGTACGTGAAGTTCCAGCGCTCAATTGGTGATGACTTTAGCATTGGGCTGAAGAGGCCGCGGAAGAATGGCTCGACGTTTGCCGAAACTGACCGCTGCCCTTGATTTCCACCAGTAGCTTCTGCCAGGAACGTGGGGACGCACTTGGCCTCTGGTGAAGTCATTGCCAGCTTCGATGACGATGATCTTTATGCAAGATCCCCAGGAGATCCGCAGAGATGGCCTGGAGGTCGTGCCACCAGAGGTTGGATTTGTATCGAGCCTTCTAGGATGCATCGAACGTTCTAGCATGATTGACTGTGATCCGCTGAAATAGTGACATAGTGATTCAATGCTCGGTGATGTCAAGGCTTGGTGCTAAGAAGCTCGTTATGTCATCACATTTGTGGGAGCTGATTTTCGTGCTTGAGCGTCCCCCCATTGAAACATTTTGATGGCAAACTGACATTCTACACATGCCAAGTTTGAGACAAAAAGGGGCCGACGGCCGACGGCTCTTGAACTTCTACGTATACCCGAATGGGATGAGAGAGAGGGCGCTTGAAAAACCCGTTTGAAAAGGTGGAGCATTCCACATGGCGTGTAGCGCATTAGATCTCTTGATTCTCCCAAGGCTTGTGTAAAGCAATCATGTGGAAACTGCAGGCACCATCCTATCTGGACACCATGGTCAATGCCTTGCAAGATCGACGAGTATCTTGACACCTGGAGGGTGGCCATTGCGTGGGCTCCGCACCACTTGTAAGAAACCATGACGGGCTCCGCTGGTTTGGCCACCTTTGGAAAGATTTTGTGAAGGTAGCATGCGCAAGATCGGTCAAGCAAACGTGTGTAAAATACAGTGAACATCTTCCAAAAAAATTGAAACTGGATTCTGAGAAGCAGCTTCATTCATGATCTACCCGTTGCCACATGTCAATGATTCTGAACGCGGCAACATGCCGAGGCACTTGCAGTGAAGCTGTCCAACTGGTGCGCCCAGACAACCAAGGCAACCCCACTTGGACTAAGTTCACTTGGACTAAGTTCTACCTGGGCGCGGCAGGGAATTGCAGCATCCTTGCTACTAGTAGCGATGGCCTCCAACCTAGTAGCTTCTTGTTACTAGTAGTACGGCGCCTGTACATGTACTGGGCGCTTTGTTGATCTTTGTTGACCCCCCTTCCTCGGACTGGTTGGCAAACATTCAAGCTGCATGGTCATTGTTGCACTTTGACGCCCAGTGAATCAGAGAGTTACTCATCATCTACGAAAATACTGCAAGCACGAGAAAATGACAAGAGTTGTCCCAGGTTATTTTGTTTTATCATGTCTCTCCCTAAAGCGGCTTTGGATCGATCCGTCATGGAGTAAAGACCCAATCTTCATGCATAATAACGGTGATTTTTCGATGCCTTGCCTATGCAGATGTCATTTTGACATATTTTGACAGCTGAATGGGGAAGCGACGGTTCTCGAAGTCATGAGCGGATCAAGGAGTTCCAGCTTGGGACAAAAAACTCGCTAGAATAACCTGCTGCAGATGTAGGCCTTGCGCCAGAGTAACTGAAATTGTTCAATGCGCATTCAGGCAATGCAACACTTTGGCAAGTGTGATGATCCGCGACTCAGTGACCCAGATTGGGGATAGTGCCTTTGCAGAGTGCAGGTTGTTGGAAAGCGTGATCAACCCCCACGCAGTGATCTTGCATCCTGCCACTCTTTGGCAAATGTGGCCATCCCTGACTCAGTGACCTACATTGGGGATGAAGCCTTTGCAGGATGTAGTGCCTTTGGTCGTTCCGATCAAGGGCCTTGATTGGCGCTGCAAACGCACCGGAAACGGTTCAAACGAATTCAGCATGTGAATGTCAAGAGTGTGATTGGTGTATCCTCAATGATGGCAATGGTGGCCATTGCAGCAGTGGGGGGCCATGGCCGGGGTCACACAGCCTTGTCGAAGCAAGCTATGTACTTTGGAGGATGGCCATGTAATGGAGATGCCTTGATCGCCGGCCCACCTTGGCACAATTCTGCTAAACAAACACTTTATGTTCAACTCTTTCAACTTCGCAACTGCTCCTCTTGCCCCTTTTGCGACAAGAAGGCTGGCTTGGTGGTTGGCTGAGTTGGCAAGGCCTGCACAACGTCCTGAAGAGTTGTCCGTAAGTCCTCAGGGAAGATGTGAAAGCTTTGGATGAAAGAAGCTCAGGTCCCAAAGAGTTGCTACTATGTATGTATATATTGATTTTTTGGTCGATGTCTTCCTCTACATGTCCGAGTTGTTGTTGTACCCGCCCTATGTAGACTGACCTGCAGATTTTGGCCGTGGACCGCTTTTGTCACCATTGGTTGGTACCGGAAAGTCCTTCAAGCCAGGTGGAGGTCTTGTCAATCTCTGATCTAGATATCGGATAATGTTTGATTAGAGAGCTCAACTGCTAGAGAGAAATCGACAACTATAGTTGCCTGATGGTACAGGTACGTGTACCACATTGACACCGACACTTGGTCATTTTGTGACCCAATCGCGTGGGGACTCACAAAGGGGCTGGATGAAACCTCTGACAAGGCTCGATGACATGCAGCTCTTTGTGCTTTGTTTCGTTGGCCCTGCTTAGAGGTACAATATACATAGTCCTCCCAACAATGCACCTGCATGTTCTTGGCATAGGGCCTCACTGTGTTGTGGTCACTCAACAGTGAAGGACCGTGAAGGATAGGTCTTTCCCTCTTCCTTCCCCAAGCTTGTGAAACTGAGATTTGCGAGTTCTCTCCTTTTGCAAGTCTTTGTCAAACCTCGGCCTACTTTGCTTGTGTTAGAGTCAATGGGGTTTTCTTTGGAGGTGAAGAGCTGGGCCTATGGCTATGGTTTTTCCTATGTCTACCGAAGACAGTGTGGGCTCGACCTGCCTGGAGACCGAGGGATCACGCGGCGCGTTTCTGGGGCGGAATGTTTTGGGGATCGCTGGGTGATTGGTGATTGTTGACTGAAAGTCGCCTTAAATAGATTTCAAGAGCAGTCACGGCCTACGGTACTGAATTTTGTCGTTGCGCAATTCAAGAGGAATACCGTTTGTGTAGGATGATTAGGATCGTGTTCAGCAGCTGAATGCAGCAGCTACTCAGCAGCGCTGCAGGTGGTATGGGAACATCAACCTTGGTGAGGAGCTGATGATGCTGATGCAGCTATTATAGCGAGCAGTGTCCCATTGGCTTGGCTGTTTGGCCACTTCCATTATTAACATTCAAGTAGGAGCCCCTTTGGTACTAGTTACTAGTTACATCTAGTTACTATTTTGCGGAGACCTGTATCTGTATATATAACAGGCACCAGTGCAGCTGTCAGGCTGTGTCATTTGTCGGCCCTGAAGCTGCATAGACTTGGTCACGTTTCAATTGTTTTTCTTTTTTTAATCTTTTGAGCTCCAAGCATTTTGCCACTGGTCTACGGGTCTTGTGAGGACTTTAACTGGATGATGCAGCTGCAGCTCCGGAGAGGCCACATGGCTACACAAAATTGGGCGAAACCTCACCTTCACTTCTTACTTTTTGGAGGAAGTGGATCCTCAGAGCTTTGGCCAAGCTCGATTTGAGGTGAACGAAGTGTCCACCTCGTTCCGGACGATTTCGGCATGTGCCTGCATGTGCAGCATGGAGGCTGGGAAGGAAACGAGACTTGATTTCCAACGACAATTCGGGATGGCTGATAGACTGATAGGCGATCAATCGGGTCAATACGGATGGAATATGGCCACCAATCTTTGCACTTACCTGTAGAACCATGCGCATAACACTTTGCTCCTGCTCCCTGTTTTTGTTTGCTAGGCAACACCTCCAACTCCATTCCAGTGCGGGAGGCGGCTGAACCTTGATGGGCCAATAATCATAGTTGAAGACAGGAACAGCACTGGTCCCTTCAGAGGAGGGGAGTCTAGTCGAGGCTCGCTAGAAACACAGGGTGGAGATGGATCTGTGTGCTTGATGAAAGGGCCGATATTCAGCAGAACTCTGGAAGTGCAACAAAAAAAGACAATTCACAGCAGGTCTGGCGAATAATAAGCAGAACCATTTTTTTTTGCGATTGGTCTGGTGTGCTGAGCGTGTCATTTTTGGAGAACATTCTTTACGATTATATAAACTGTATGGTTGGACTATTCTTGGAGCCAATACGTTTATCTAGATGTAGTTGAGGGACCGCAAATCGCGTAAGCCGTAGAGATGTTTCCATTGGGATCAATAGGGCCCCTTTACCTGTGTTTTCTTTCAGGTGCCAGATTCTGAAGCCATGGTGCACAGCCTCAGCATGGAAACACGCATGGCAACTGAAGTGCACTCGCCAACATTTGCAAAAGTGCACTCAGCCCCATGGATCTACCCATGGCATCCCATCACAATACCACACAATACCACCTCATTTGCGTGATTCGTGAAGATGTTCAATAAAGACCTGCCATGCCCCAATTGCAGCAGATGGACTGAACTGAACCAACGAGGACTTGGATATTATGGAGCTGAACCAGTGGATGCACGCCTCAGGCCAGGGGTACAGTGGCAATGCTCTGCTTCAACGAGCAGCTGTACCCTCCAGGTAATGCTAAGGCAAGGCCCTCTTGTGATATGGAGATAGGTTCGGCTTCATACTGGCATCTTGAAGCAGTTCAAAGACTTGCAACCCTTCTCCAAAAGAACAAACACCACTCCCTTCAAAACCAGGTCAAACGCAAGAACACGCAGACTTTGATCTCCAAACAGCGTCCTTCGCGCCCCGCAGGTCCAGCAGGCCGTGCACTCGCTCGAGCTATAGGTGGGAAGGGCAGACATGGATACTTGCTTGGAGCGAGCAACCCAAGATTTTCCAACAGGACGCAGCAAGACTTCCGGAAGCAAGCAGGCAGGCTCCTGAACTGCGCACACAGGAAACTTCTGTTAATTGCTTTGAAATGATCACTCCGGGACAGTGGGCACTGGTTCTGATCTCCTAGCGGTCCTACTTGTCATGTTGGCATTCATTCAACATAAACCGCAAGCATCCGCAAGCTTCTTTGTCATCATATAAGCTAGGTTGCATGCCACCTGCCGCATGCCGAATACCTCATCGAGAACCCGCCGAAAGCGACGGCCCGGATACCGCAGAAGACCTTTCCTTCTTTTTTTTTTGGTCTTCACCGTCACCTATTTCAAATTTACAGGAATGAATCAGGGACAGTGTACGTGCTTTCGTGCGTGCCTCTCAATTTCGGATCATGTTGGTTCTGGACTCCTGTCTATGAGCATGATTCATGATTAGATCGTTTTTAGAGTCTTGCTGAGCATTTTCGTTTGCAACTCAACGCCTTGCCCGGCGGGGCAACCCCGCTTCAACGTCGCTGAGGTCAATGACTTGTTGAAAGCTCTTGAAGATCAGCTTCGGATTCCCTGCGATGCCTACAAGGCTAGCCAGAGGTTTTGGCTGAAAGGAGCAAGAGCTTCCCTGTAGCCGAGGTCTACAGAGTGCCTCCACCTGTGGCCTTTGGAGCACAGAAAAAGTGCGCCTGACCTGTGAATTGAACGGGAGATTGTATGATCATAAGCTATATAGGTTGGTTATCCACCGGTTGTGGGCATGTGGGTCTGCGTGGGAATCTATTCTGCTATTCTTGGGTCATTCATAATGTCAGGATCTACCCGGAGGAACGTCGTGGCCAGGCAAGGAGAAGCAGCATTGACAAGACAACATGGGAGGAAATGGCAGAGTTCTTTGTTCTTTGTGACCACTGGATGTTGCTTTTTGGGTTTCGGTGGCCCTCTCTCCATTGGAAGCAACGGTTTGGAAGAAGGAGTCGTTGCTTTAGGGTCTGCAATGGACAGCGGGCCTGGAGTCCGATTATTTTTCTCCTCTCTCCACGTGGAAATTGCTGATCGCAGTCTTCTTCATCCAGTCAATTTGCCGGAGATGGTGTTAGGGCACCTCCAAGGGAAACAGATTATCAAAAGCCACATGTTTGCCACAACAAAGTCCCCCGTCCACTCCGTCGAAGTACTGTAGCACTTGTTTATAGGTCTTCTTACGCAAAAGGAACGTGTTGATGTTGTGGAGTGGATCTTGGCCCATGTTGCTCCATAGATGTTCACGAAACTGAAAGGAACACATTTTCAGAAGCCTTGGCCGCGGCCGATGTTGGCCGTTTGCTCAGATTGCGGCAGATGTGCTGGGCATCTCGTTCCTAGCGAAGCTGCCCGGTGCCGAGGTGCGGTCGACCCGACCCAGGGGCCCGGTGGACTCGTCAGGGGGTACCCTATGTTTGAACCATAATTAGGGCATATAGATCATATAGTAGGGATTTATGTGATGTATGATATATCTGGTATATGACCTATGATATATGATATATAGGGCATAGAATTGCTGTCAGCCATTGACATGCCTGGAAGGCTGTGTGTGGAGCAGAGTGCGTACATATGTGCGTAATACTCCATAGCAACCATCCCGATGTACTGTATGGTGATATCCTTGGACCGTTGCTGTGAGAAGGACATACCGGCCTTTGATTCATATGGAGCGGATGGATGAGGATACTACTATTTGTATACTGCAACTGTATGAGACATCACCCAACTCTGAGTCACAATTGTTGAAGATCTTGAAGCGAAGGCTTGTTGGAGGAATACGCCTCACATTCTGAGACATTGAAATGTATTGACCACATGTCTGAGACTTCCATTGTGATGGCAATTCTGTCTTGGACCTTCCAGCCTGGACCTTTTCCCTTTCAAGCGAGGAAAATCTTCAGCCACACACCAAGTCTGGACAGCAATGGTGCAAGCTCACGAAGGCCATATGCCCAGCGAGGGGGATGACTGATTCCCGCTTCCATGCGCATTCGGCAGACAAATTTTCATCTTCATGATGCATTCTTGCCATTAGATGACATGTTCTGACTTGCTGCAGGCTCATGTATGTATGCCTGTTGAAGTGTTGAAAGTACGTCAGTACGTCGCTTCGTTCCTTGAAATGTTGCCCCAATGTCAAATGCTGTGTGTGAGCACCAGGCGGCCCAACAATCCCTCCGAGGTGCTCTCGGAGTTGGGGATAGCCAGGGGAGACAAAGAGACAACCCTAGCCCAATCGGTTCACTACAGCAAACAACGTGGCAAACAAAACTTTGCAGATCAGGGCGGGTCCATGGCGATTTAGGCAGCATCAAATGATGACAAACTCCATAGAATCGATCCTTGTCAAATCTTCTCAGCTTGATGTTGGAGTTAGTTCGCTTCAACCAGGTGGCGGATTTTCACATCTCACATTTTTTCCTCCCTTTTAAATCCTTTTCCCCTGGGCCTCCGGGGCCATTTCGGAACATCTCCGACCTCGGTCGCACCAGGCACGGATCGACTGGGGCCACGCGTCGACGACGTTTGGGCGTGGTGGCTCGAAGGACTTCGGTGTCGACACCTGTTGGCCAAGATTGGATGTGATGTTTTGTACTGTAGGATTCTGTTGTTTCATTTGTGTGTAGGATTTGTAGGTTTTTCTCCGGTGCAGTCATTGTGTACACATTGGCCTGGACCACACCTCGTGGCTGAGGTGCTTCCACCTGAGCAAGCAGCTGCAGCTGGACTTAGCACTGGGGAGGCCATTTGCAACTATCCTGCAAGGCAAACCACTTGGCAAACGCGACGTAGTGCAATTTGTGAAGCAAGTACTGTGGTAGATGACGTTACAAAATACAAGGCCATAGGCCCTGGGCCATAGGGGAGAGGCTTTTGTGGACCACATATATATATATATATCAGGGTTCTGACCTGTACTACTAGCTTGGCAACTGCCTTTTTGCATTTGGTTGCCACCTACTGGCCTACGGCCTACTTACAACAAAACAGGACATACGTTGCCCAGGGTGTTTGGTTCAGCTCCATGTGATGACAAATTGAATTTGTGAGCTTCCCTCGGTGCTGTCGCAATCCTGCAATATCCTGCAGGAAACTTGGGAGGAGGAGGACAAGGTGGCCTGCGCAGCTGCAGAGGAGGAGACTTCTGCAGAGAGAGCTGAAATGGTTCACCCATTGAATCCACTTCTGCCGAGACATGTCCAAAACATTGCTTGAACGCGGCCATGGTGTAGCTGTTGCAGCTCAACCAAGATTGCCGTAGTTGCAACAGTACTTGTAGCCGTAGCGGTAGCGCTTGAAACATTGATTGCAAGATGGAGGAAAGCAAGAAGTCCTTCATCACACGTGCATCTCTCAGCTGATTTATATATATATATATATATATGTGCACAATATATTATAACCGCACATATATATATATAATGAGATTGCTTGACTTTTGCATTGCGGTAGAAGTTTCATCAAATTGAATTATATAGAAGGAGAAGCGGAGCTGCAACACAATTGACTCGGAGCAATAGTTGTCTCCCTACATGTCATTCGGCAAGCCTCAAGCGGACGTTCTTGGGATGGCATTTCCATGCTATGTGACATTGGCATTATACTCATTAGGATCCTGACTGGTAGACCCGGTCTGCTTGACAGGACGATTGCTTCTGTCCATCATTGAATGAATGCCTCCTAATTTTACTAATGTCCTTCATTTGTGAGTCTTTCTTCAATCCTGCAAGCCTTCCCAGCGCTTAGATTCGGAAAGGTGTCATGCACAGCACAGTGCCTGAAATACTGCCCAGCCTTTGGTTTCATCACAGGGGTGACTTGCCAAAGCTCGACCGTCAAGAAGTTCTTCACCACGAAGCAGTCCTTCGGAGTCTACCTTCCGACACTCAGCACAGAGCTCCGAAAAAGGTCATGGCGACACATACGCCAACTTGGGATTCAGTGAGGAAAAGCCGATAGGCCTTGGTGCGATACAACATCTAATAACATATATTTTGCAAATGATTGCTGAATGCTGATCAAAACAGGGTTCGGTTCGATTTGCACGGCTTTTGAGCGCTCAATCTGAGGAAAGGTGCAACTGTTAGCCAGCTAAGCCCGCCGATGCCCGCTTTGAACAGCGGTGGCCCGTTCTTTGCGGGCAGATTTGAAGCACTGTACCGAATGAGAGATGGGCAAAGACCAGCAAACAGTCGACAATTGCTCAGGTGGAAGCAATTTACATATTTGATTTCTTGATTGCTTCCTTTGCTATCTAGCTGAATCTAGCTGACTCTTCAAGTAGCTCAGTCTGCTCAGGAATGCTGCTTCAGGTTTCCTGTCCTCAGCAGTTTGATGTCCTTGGCACATTTCACTATGCCAGGATGGGTGCTGGGAAGACACCTTCCAGCTGAGGCTGGCTGACAAGTTATCTATTGGCATGTCGCAAGGCAAAGAGCTTGGAACATGTGTGAAGGGGGGTGCATGGCAAAGCCATGCGTTAGATTGCATTAGGAATATTGAAGTTCAACTTGCACCCGCAGCATTTTCAAGGGAATCGCACTTGTAAACAGTATACATGGCCATGCTGATTTTACATTATTGATAATTGCAGTCATTGAATCAGGCTTGATCTTGATCAATCAAGTGTCGTTCACGGCCTCCATGTAGTACAAAACAAGCATTGTACGGGTTCCTTGCTGCATATTCCAGGCGCGAGTGCTTTGCCAGCGCCAAGGGCGTGACATCCAGGTGATGCAAGAAACAGCCTGCATCTCAATCTTGCAACGTGGTCCACGTCAAGAGATAACAAGCAGTCCTAAGCGGTCCTTGTACAATTGATGTGTGACACCAGTTGCGAAACGCAACATCATCTCTAGCAATCTAGCATGAATCATCGCTTTTGTCCATCGACCAACGCCCTGCTGATACTTCTCAGCATCAGGACGTGGTGCCCGAGGAGATCACCGTGTCCGACTTTCGAGGGCCTCGAAGCTTCTACATGTCCCACAGCTGCAGATTCTGCACGACCAAGGGGATTGATGAGGGGAAGGCTTTTGACCAGACGGATGGGCTTTAGAGCCTTTCTTCGTGACTGATCTTGCAAAAGCCATTCGTTGACGGCTTAAAATAGAAAACCTCGACGTTCTGTGCAATTTCACACAGCCTCGCAATTTACTGTAGGAAGAAAAATGGTTGCACAAAATTCCGGACATGACATCCGAGATCACCCACTAGTACTGAAACCTTTATGGGACGGGTGCCAGGTTGAATGTTGGACCCCAGCCATCCCTGTCGTAAGTCTCAGGTTCAAAAGGCCCTGTGCAGTTTGAAAGGCAAAAAAGGGTATTACTGTGCACTTGAATTCGAAGTCCTGGCATGGCTGATCACACTTCAGGCGCTTTACGGATGAGCAATGTGCTATCGTTCTCCGCTTCATGCGGTACGCTGACTGCTTCGCTGCGATGGGTGGAAGCCGGGTGCAGTGCTAGTCACGTAGTCAGCGGGCAGCAGCCCAGAAGTTGCGCTTCTTTTTCCCATTGCAAACTGTGTGACCATAGGCTTAAAGATTGCTTGAACACCCGAACACCCCTAGCACACTGTACAGAGTTGTATTTGCAGACAGCGAACTCTGAACAGCATAATTATATTCACTTGCGTTCCTTTATGGTCCTTTCGATTTTAGGTTTTTCAGGTTGGCTTAGTTCTTCTCCGAATCAACGAGCCCCGGAACCCATGGAAACTGTGAGCCACGCAGCCAGGTCATTTTTCAAGAATCCAGAGAATCAGAAGCGCTTGGACGAGTTTGAAGCCAGTGCCAAAGGCAGTGGTCACGACTACAGAGCCCGGCGCCCAGTGGAATGACCGGGCCTGTTCATGGGGATTTCCGTTTTCCTTGTCCTCCTCCGCGTTCTTCTCCACCCTCCAGTACCACCAAAGGCCCAAGCAATCCGACATCAAGTCGGCCGGTAGGTAGCTCAAAAAGTCCCTGAAGCGCCAAGACTCAGGCATCCTTTGTCCTCACCTCGTCGTGCCAAGTGGTGCATACAAAGTATATGGTCATACTTTCACACCTACTGAATCTACTGGTCACCTCGCTTGGAGCTTCCGAGACTGGGAACGCAACAGGAATCTGGACACTCCTGACCATGTAGACAATGTAGACCTTTGCCCCACCCAGACAAGCATCCCATCCATTGGATGCTCTTCATAAAGCCCAGCACTTGACTTGCTCCAAGGCTCAGCTGGTTCAGTTGCTAGCACATGAAGTTTATCCAAGGAGTTGGCTGGGCCTGAAACCAGGATGTGCTATGCCCCACCGAAATCAACCGTCCACAGAAACTCACCTCCAGCAAGTTGTGGGCTCTACTCACATTCAGTCACGTTGCACTATTCGAAGTCTTCTGGAATTCGAGTGCAGTGTTGATTTTCGGCCTGCATTTTGCATTGTCGAAATTCCATGGGCAGGATCTATCAGAAGCTGCACGTGCCCGTCATGGATGACTTGGACGGACCCAAGCTCATGCATGGCTGCTCAAAGTGGGGTCAGCTATGGACAGCCCAAAATCATACCAGTCTGTCAGAAGCATGCGAGAAAGCACAATCAGCTTGCAGCATGGCCAAGGCTGGAAGCTATGTCCAATGTCTCCTCCAGCAACCTGCAGGCTGAAGCTGAGGGCAACCAGGGCGAGTCAGGGATTCGAGTCAGCTTTGAAAGATTATTACATATTGCACTTTGTTAGCAGCTTGACCAGATCGGCACTATCATTTTGATCTTTCGGTCTTGCGCAATCAAGTGGCAAGAGTGTTGCAACTTCTCCAACTTTTGCCCTGTCTGAATGCAGAGAAGGATAACTCAAGACTCAAGCACTCAAGCTGTCAATCACAATGTTCACCTTGCATGAACGGCGTCAAACTGCATCCGTTTGCCGCTTAAAGCAAGGTGGTGGAGCTTTGGCTAGAGGTGGAGCTGCTTATGCGGAACCAGGCATCGATCTATCCATTTGAGACATTTCCAATTTCGGTGAGATGTCCTTTCGCTGCGGAGATTGAAGGACAAGAAATGTCGGTGATGGAAAGTGTAGCAAAGATCAGAGGATTGATGGCTGACCTGCTTCTCCTCCTACACAGAATCTTGAAATGTTGGAAATCAACAGCTGATGGCACAGTGAGGATTGCAGGTCTGCACGAATCCATCAGCGTCCATGTCTGGATTATAAGATTGATTGGCATGACGACAAAGTGACATGCGCCCGCCACTGTCTGCAAGCTCCAAGCCTTGAACTACAGCGGCCAAACTGACTGAGGCATCAGCTCAAAGTGCTATTCAGGCTGTGCAATTCTTCCGCAACCAGGCGCGTTGCCGAGATGGAAGGGGGTTGGAGGTGCAATACGGAAACAAGCCAACAGAGTCAAGTACCAGCAGTCAGGGTTTCGAGTACGGCCAGCCAAACCAAAGAAGTTTGTTGGTAAATGTTCGTAAGGTGAACATAGAGCGTCCACTACAAGCCGATGTGTGGAAAGTGGCATAGAATGTCAGAAAAGCTTTGCAGGTATTGATGGCAGCAGATGTGTGGATGCATGGCTGGGGTCATCCTAATTGTTATGTCTTATTAATTGAAAGGGGATAGGATGACCCATGAATGATCCACATCAAAGTTTGTAAAGGAATTGCTATTGTAAATTTGATGTGGAGAAATGTATGCAGAACACCATATTGTTTTACTTTTTTCATCTTTTTTTCTTACTTAAAATTGGTGTTCTGGAATATGTTTGAGCCTTTATGAAACTATATACTTCTAGTTACTAGTTTTTTATCGCATTCCAACGCGATTTGGACTGGGACACTAGTCACTAGCCCTAGGCCCTAGTCAATTGGCTCAATCAAATGCAACATGCATGCCGAGCCGTTCCCCAACTGATCCCATAATGTCAGCCGTTTCAAGATGGTCCAGCCAGGCCAACAAGTCGCAGGGAATTACAAAGGTCATCGAACAGCCATCTTACGACGGGGCCCTGGCATCAGCAAGAGGAAGGGGTTACTCGTGGCATGTTTACATTTTTTTTTTGCTAGGTTGGAGGCTATTGCTATTGGGTTGGAGGCCATCCCTCGCCCTTAGCAGACCATTGCTTATTGAAGACAAATCTCCAAGGATCACTATAGATGGGCCCACCGAAAGATGGCTGACCCTGTGTGCACATTTGCGCAGTTCGTGCCTCTCCTGCGGCATCGGCGGCTGCTGTACTGAGGAACATATCCGTGACGCTGTGCAGATCATGAGACAAGTTGGGCCGTCGCGAAGCTGAATTCAGAACGGATGCGGGAGGAGGATCAAAAGTTGGCAGGGCGAGTGATAACAATTCTTAAAATCAAATATCAGAAACGGATACATCAGGATATACATCGCCAGAGGAGCATGTCCAACAAATCCTGCTCCGGGCAATGCTGAGGAGCATCAGTGGAGCAATAGTGCAGGCATTTCCGGGAGCTGCAGGGGGACTGAGGAGGAAGGCCGCGAGATGGGCCCAGTGTGTCGGACAAAGCCCTGAAGATTCACTTTTCAATGCCAAGTCCTTGCCACTCGACATTCGGTTGTCGTTGCAACCCACGCGGGTGAGTGGTTGGATGCTGCAACAACCATAGCATTCATAGAGTTCATAGTCAGTCTTGTAGTTCTAGAGTCGATTTGCTCCCAGATCGGCCAGGCCTGGATGGACAAGGACACTTCCACGGAGTGTTCCACGGAAAGCAAAGCAGAGCCCGACCCAAGAGACGCCGAAGGAGGTGAAAAAAACGCCGAAGGGTCGTTGAGACACGCGACTGGATGGATTGGGTGACTGACTTGTTGACTTGTTGTGCGTTCTCTTGTCACAGGCGATGTTTTATTGCAGGTGCTTTGCAAAGGAGATCATTTTGAAGACGAGATGTAAAATTTGTTGAGGACGCCTGTGGTATACACACATGTATGTATATTCATGTGAATCCTCTTTCTCTTACATACCTGCGCCAAAAGCGATACGCTTGTGACTCGTGCATGCATTAATTACAAATTGGCAAGGCAGCAGCCTGCCTCGCTTCAGAACAGAAATCAGGACCCATCGCAACAGAAAGATCAAATTGTCCAACAAGAAGAGTAGCAGCCTCATCAAACAATGCCGGAACAGGCCCGGGCATCATCTGAAGGAGACTGTGCTGCCACAAAGATCTCCGCCAGGACCCGGCAGAGGTCGCCCGGATATCCTTTCAGGCGACCATGTTCATCACGTCCAATGCTCGTGCACTAGGAACAAGAGGCTACAAGTGCCAAAGGGCATCGCTACTATAGCAGCAAGGGCCTAGTAACAAGAAGCTACTAGTAGCTCCTGGCCATACTAATTACTGGGAACAAGAAGCTACTTCAGGCAAAGAAGTGGTGCGCCCTTTCCAAAGACGTTCAACCGCCTCAGGCGCATTGGCAACCAAAAAGTCAATCGGCTTAGCCGAGACCGCGCCAAAATGACTCTGCTGTATGCGGACTCTCTGGCATCCAACAAACCGCAGGAAGGTCTTGACCAGATCCAGGAGCCAAATGGAAGGGTACTCAAAATGGTGTTCTGGCTGTGAAGGATTTTCGATGATCGCAGTAGCTCTAGTCGAAAAGAGACCCCAAGCAGGAGATCGCCAATCGAGGCGTAATCAGCCTACGGCAATCCAAGTGGACGTGCACGGCTGTGAAGCGGTCGCACACCTGTTCTAGATGAGTCAACCTCCCTCGCGGGACCATGTCTACGAGGAAGTCCCTCCGCACTCCAGATTTCAACGCTCGTGCTAAAGAGGAAACGTCTCAGCACGATTGCCCCAATGTAGATCATAGAAAAAAGCATGGTGTTCAAAGTCATTCGCCCGTCTTGCTGAGCGAAAACTATTGATGCATACTGTACTGCAGCTGGGAGCGAGACCCTGAAAACAGTCAAACCAAGTGCCTCATGCGCAAACAAGGGAGTATATAAATGTATCAGCTTCAACTGCAACCGGAACATCACTGCCCAGAAACCACTCACCAGAAGCCTTCTTGAAGCAAAGACCTGCAAAGACCACAAGTGAGGATAATGGCAATGTTTCATCGCCTGAAATCACACCGAGCCACAATCGAAAACAGGCACCAATCTCGTCATGGTAGAGGAAGAAAGAGTGCCGGACCGTCCTCAGAAGCTCAAGCAAATGAAGGCCGTCACTAGCTCTGTGAACACAATCAGTCCATGCCGCCTGTAGAGAGCACGACACGCCGCCAGTCGTTGCACATGATTCAGCAAGTCAGTGGGCTGTGAATGGAGCTTGAGACAAAACTCACACTGCCGTCACTGCCGTCCAGAAACATACTGCATGAACGTGCCTGTCGTAGTCCATCATGCTTCTTAAAAGCATGAACATGAACAGCAGGATCCGCTCGCCTAGCAAAAGCACGACTGCAGCAAAGGCAGTAGTGAGAGAAGGCTTCCAGCACGTCTTTGAGGCCTCTGCAGGTCCAGGCCAGCTTGAAGCATCGCTTCCATGATGTGACAATGCCACCTTTGCCACTCACTCTCAACACGTAGAGCAGAAAGATGCCTATTCCGAGCCCTTCTAATCGACCTCCTCCAGCTAGCAGGGCTTTCCTGGACCAGCTGCAAAAATGACCCACGAGTCTTGGTATTGAGACAAGCGAAAGATCACGTCATTTGTGGATTTGTAGGCTAGGAAGCAGGAAGCATACTGTAGATTGATTCGGTTCGCTTTCAAGACCTGCAACGAAACCGTTGAACTGACCATTTTAGGTAACCTGTGCATGAGGGCGTGTACCAAAATTCATGGCATATCATGGCGCCCTCGCTCGATATAAGTGCCAAAGAGCCTTCCACTGTAGACACTGCTGTGGTTGTTGTGTCACGTTGCAGTTATTTAGGCTCAAGATTGTGTTTGGTGTACCCGGTGAGTCTCACCTGCATGTCAGCTGAGAGCCCTCCATTCCTGAGAAAATGGGCCGAGGAGCATGAGCGTCTCTGGATGCAGATAACCATAGATAACCCTCTATATATGTACAGTATATATCCCCAAGGCACGCCGAGAAGAACATCCATCTACACTGGACCGACCACTCAAGCTATTCATTTTGTTGTATTATATATATATTATATACGTATAAATAAATAAATATATATATACATACACAGATGCACATTTCTTTACTTATGTGCATACATGTAGAGGAGCCACATATTATGATTGTTCCCAACTAAGCTCCAAGATGCTGGAGCACATCATTATCAAGAAAGTGCAATCACACTATAGGCATTCCGACATTCTCATGCATATGTACGAGTTCTACACACCGCCCCCGCGATTGGGGGCGAGGTTTTCGTGTCACTCTTCTGAAAGTCTGACAGCTTGACGCCATGGACTCCACACGCGCCATCATCGCCCTTTGGCGTCTTTGTGTGCCAGCCGGCCTTGGCCCGCAGGTGCTTTTTACTTTCGGGAACCCATGATATGAACCGGGGGTTTCTGAAAATGCAACGGGAGGGTCGCAAGCTTGTTCCTGGTTCTGTTTTGGGACAGCAGTGCCGTGTGAGACAGTGCGAAGAGCAGGTGGCACCCAACTGGCTCAAAGGAAGGTAGAAGAGTTGCACCAGAGATAGTGCAATGTCAGGTTGGTGGAGATGGTGCAATCCCGGTGGACGTGCTGAAGGCTGGGAACTGCTACCAGCCTCATTGCCCTGTGCCAACTTGTCAGCAAATAGAATCTCCCAGGTCGTGCTCGAACGCGAGTTGGAGGGCCATTTAGGAGACTTTGGTCAAAACTCTGCAGACGAGATCCTGCTTTCGACTCAGCCATCGATATGACACCAATGATCCATGGCCTTGACACCGACTTGTGCTAAAGTCATGATTTGCAAACTCAGGCAAACCTACATGCAACCGGACGCCGACGGGGTGGTTGGCTTTCTGCAGTTCTGGAAAGGAATGGAGGACAGTGTTTGAACACAGTCTCCTGATGTTATTTGTTTGTTTTCATTGGGCACTTTGCATCGCCAGCTTTGAATTTTACGGCGGCCATTGCTACTAGGGTAGGTGGATCAAGTCCATCACATCCATCGCAGGAGATCCTCCGTGCCCGGGGCACCATGCGAACCTACGCGCTGACGCCGGCACAGAAGGAAGCCATCGCAGGCTTTCGCTACTCGGCGTTTGACATCATTTTGCACCAAGCATGTCGCACGGCAGTCTCATGCTGCAAGGGAGGATTGCTCATGAAATGTGATGAATCCTCCAGGATTGAGCCCCTTATATAATTAGATCCCAACAGCTGAGGCTTTCTGCGGACTTGCTTGCTGGATATGGCAGCACGGCAGATCTCCCAGGGCCGCTCTTCCTTCAGTGTGCGCGAGCTGAGGCTGAGATCACATTTATAAACCTAGCATGCAGTTTTGAATTCTACAATGTCCACCATCAAACCAAACATCACAAATAAGTATCGTGAATTTGGTTCGTTTCAGCTCAACAAAAGCTAAAGATGTTCGGCTTCAAGCATTTCTTTTTTCAGAAGCTTCCATTTGGAATTGGCTGCGGCCCTGTTGGTGAGATATTTCATGGACCGCACCATTGAGCTCACCGGCTTGGAGGGGCAAGACTTCTGGCGCCCGGACACCCAGCGGTCAGCGGTCGGTCGCGCAGCGACCGAGCCCGTCGCGGCCGCTGGTGGCTCACCGTGAGGTCAAAGAGCGACGCAGCTACCGGAAGACCCCGAAATGCTGGTCACTGGTGAGGAAGTGGCTTCTGCCTTGTCCGCTTCTTCAGTGGCTGGTGATTCAAGAACATTTGACTGAAAAGTGGTTAATGTTGCCATGACCTATGATCCCATCGAAGGCTCACATGGTTGGAGGAGTTGGTGGGGGAAGGCGCCGGATTTTGAAATTAGAACGATCAAGCAGTCAGGTTTGAGCTACTCTTTTGATTCAAAGCTCAAAAAGTTTTTGTTTGTCTTGAGGACCAGGTGAGGATGAGGAAGAAGAGGAGGACAGTTCCAAGATGGACATGATTCTTGAGCTGCCATTGTGCCATGCTTTGGTGACACAGGACTCGGCGGCAGAGGACGATGAGGCCCTAAAAGCATCTAGAATCTAAAACATTCTTGTGTCGATCAATTCTAATCCAGGTCGAGCGATTGCGCTTATGTAGCTGTGCATATACATATATATATATATATGTGTATATATATATATATACATATCAAACAACACACATGTGTATGTACAGTATATTATACTGTATATCTACTGTATATACGCATGCACATCATGTTTGCCAGTGTCGTGTTGCCTATTTGGTTGGGCCATGGGAGTGAGACGCGTATCACATCCACAGTTTAGATGTTGCAGGTGTTCCACAGTTGCGCTTGGACATTTTGAGCTCCCGTGCACGTCGCACTGCCAGGAGGAGCCTGAAAGAGAGGCCGCATGGTTTGCCTCGGACGGGTTTTGTTTCCACTATCTAAACACCTAGGACCTAGGTTCGGCTGTGAATGCTGTTTGGGTGCGAGCGGGCTCGCACGTTCGCTGTGTGTGAAATCATTCTTTTTCATAAACATTGCATTCTCAGTGGAAGAAACGGAATAGAAACAGCGCCAGGCCTCCGTACTGGTGCCAACCCCCAGCAGCACCGGTCGGGCTGGGGCTGGCCGTTGGGCCACCCACCAGTGCGGTCCTCATGTTTGTTAGCACTGTTTATGGAGAAGAAGCTCCGGCTTCAGATTGCTTCATCTCTCACGCACTGGAGCCATTTTCAGCTGAACAGGAACAAAGCAGTTCCCAAGTCAGAACAAGTCTGTGTGGCTCAGCTTGCACCACACATAGAACATTAACAGCAGCTCCTCATTTACCTCAGTTGCAGCCTGCAGCCCTAGAGTCCTGGAGGTAGTAGTCCGGACTTGCAACCACAAAAGCACAGCAGTAGAACCGGTCAATCACCCCAGCAGACCCAAGCTACTTGTGGCTACGAGGCTTGTCCTTATGTAACTCAAATGGCATAGTGACAGCAGATTCGCTACGTTCGTGACGATTTGTGCTGGATGGTTCCACCATGTTTGATGGAAGCATCTCGGAGACCAAGGCGTGGAGACGAGCTCCATTTTCCATCATGAAGTCCACATCACAAATTGCGGTGGTTCTTCATGGTTTTCTAATCCGTTTTTCACAGGTTTGAGCGCCGAATCTTGTAGGTTCCTGGGTTCTGGACGGGAAAGGCTACATTGACAGTCCAATACATCTTATCAAGATCAATGGCCCAGCTTCGAGCGCGTCATCCCACTTCCTGCTTCGAGCATGTATGAGATATTATGAATCATGCCATGGGATCTACTATGAGGTATGCTATGAGCATGTACCTATGAGCATATGTACCGTACATGCTTCCATTCGAGGCCATTGCTCTTAGTTCGGAGACCATTGCTATTAGGTTAGAGTAAAGCCTATATGTATATATCGCATATATATATACATATATTGTATTATTTTTTATTTTTTTTACCTTTACGTCCTGCGGTGTCCCACGTCGCCTCCAGGTGAGCCTCGCGGGCGCCCGGAACCGCCGCAGCGAGACGCGCGCGGAGTTCCTGCGGCGCCAGGCCCGGGAGCGCGAGGACCGAGAGCGATGCCTGGTGAATGCTTGGTGGTGTCAAACGGGAGCGTTGGGCCAGGTGGGTGGAGGAAACGGGATTTGACGGACAACTTTTTGGCATGTATGTATTTAAGTGAAGTCTGGCAGGTTTGCGGAACGACTTTGATTAGTTTGTCTTGTGATGGTTTTGTGTGTTTTCTCGTTTGGTGAGAGTGAGTGAATGGGTTAGGGCTTTCGCAAAACGGTTTTCTCATGGTGCTGGACATCTCTGAGGAAAGCGGGTGCGTGACATCTCCGCCACCAAGATCCAAGTACGGGGGCCTAGCAGGGGCTGCCGAGCTCATCCGCTCCCAATGGCAGAGTGTTCTCCTCGTGGATTTCTGGTGGCCACTCATGTCCCACCAAAGTGATACATAAAATATATCAAACTATCACAAAAGCTGTGGAGAACGGGCCATGGGTACAATCATGTGAGCGTCGTTCAAAAAACCACATCTACTTTTTAGTATATAGACAAATTTTTAAGTATGCTTTTGAGTGTGCTCCCACTGCAGTCGCGAAAGGTTCGAAGGTCCTGCGAAAATAAAAATGAAAGGAATATTGAACAACCCCCATGCAAACTGCTTGATAGCCCTTGGCTGTGATTTGGTCCATTTTGGACCAGCCCCACCTTGGCACATCAAGAGTCTTGGACTTGAGGCTTCTTGGCGTCGCTTCCGATGCCGCCGCGAACAGCGAAATTCGCAGAGAGAGCTGTTCGACAAGCGCCTGGGGGATTTACAGAAGGCAGGAGATCAACAGGGCAAACACAGGCATGACATGCCTGGGATGCTGGACATGTCAAAAACGAGTTTTCGTTTGCTGATCCAGGTCGAAGGTCTCTTGCCAGATGTGCAGAGGGCAACTTTTGTCTTCAATGCCCTGCAGAAGTTTTTTGTGTTTTGGCAGCACTTCAGCTTCCCCAGGTGAGTGGTTGTGTCCCGATGTCGTTTTGCACCCAGGTTGCGGCCTTTCACATTCTTTTTCAGCGGCCCAGAGGACGTGACTCAAAGAATAATGCAAGCACATACCAGCTTAATATTTTTATTGGATTGGCAGTTGAGGGCACTTGGTACGACAACCTCCTGCCAACTAGTGCGGATGGTGAGTGTCGAATAGCTTTGATGCTGCATTTAGCTGAATCTAGCTCTTGAATGCTCTTGATCTTTTTGAGTGATTATAAAATAGATGCAAATAGCAGGCACGGTGGCACGGTGGCAGGTGACCAAGATTTGGATGTTCCTCAGAGCTTTAGTGCCCTTAGCACCCTTCGCCCCCATCGCCTGTCCACCTGCAGGACGCCGCTCGTTTAGACACCTTGCTACGCCTGGTCTGTAGCTCCGGGCAGCAGCCGGCGGCCACCAACATCTTTGCCTCACTACTGGCTGAGGAGGACGGGTATAACTTTGCTGCGTTGGTGGGTGGACCTGGTAGCGGTGGTCGCCGAGCTATCGTCGATTGCTATCATGATTGTAGAATAGTCTTGATGGATCTTGATCCGCTGTTACGACTTCGAACCGTCAACCTTAGTGAAAGTCGTTGGAAGGCCTCTCAGGGGGGATTCAAACCAGTGCGAGGAGCAGCAGCGACAGAGCATCCTCGCACAAAGCGACAAAGCTGCAAATTCGAGCGAGCATTCAGGTAGTTGGAGGTGATGTGTAGTCACAGTGTAGTCATTTGGTTCTCAATTTTCCTGTCTGCCAAAGGCCGAGCCCTGCTACGAGCCCTGCTCCAACTGGAACAGAACCGCGAAGCACTTCGCTTGCTGCAGCTCGGTGGAGGTGACAATGACGGATCCGAAACATCAAGCTGCTTGTGACATGGCAAGCCACAGGAATCCACAGGGTGTCTAGGGGTTGGGCAGATGCGATTTCCCGGGGTTTGGGAAAGATTAACGAGAACGAACTAGGCCGAATAGGCAGACACATTGTTGAGAGGAAAGAGTGGAGCCCACTTGGTCATTTCCTTGATCCTGGGATATCCTGGGCCAAGGGCTCCAATGATCCGGGCTCCTAGCACTTGCAACGCGGGACGCGGGATATCCCCCAAAGACACCCGAAGGCACCGGGCTCTGTGAGCCGGTGGAATCCGAGGCTGATGATTCGCGACGTCATCTATGACCGAGCGAGCAATGCTCCGGTCCACCCCAGCAGATGCTCGATGTACATGGACTTCGCAGTTCGTGGCTCGTGGCTGTTCACGTCTTGCACTCCTTGGCCTCCCACCATGCAGAAAAAGACGCAACATTGATTTTCAACTTGAGAGGCCTCATTTTCTCACCAAAAACCCATAGATTGAGGCCCGACAGTCGAAACTCGCTAAGGATCGCCTGCTGCTGTGGGCTTCCTGCTGAGGGGGACGCAGGTCTTGCAGGCCTTGCCTGAGCAGCTTCCACTGGACGAGGTGGGCGCTGCAAGCAGCGAGGCAGTGCAGGATCATGTCACCCCATCGCCGCACAGGAGAGCCAAGCAGCAGCTGTGGACTTGGTGCGTTTGGCGTGTGTAGGTCGGGAACCTCCAACTTTTGAGTCTAGTGAGTCTAGTGCACGAGTTGTGCATTTTGCGGATGTCCAATTGAGCACGTTGTCTGTGGCAGGTATGGAGGCTAGCGCTGAGAAGCCGCGGCGGCATCTCTTGTTGACCCTGCTTTCCGTACCGGCTTCAGCATGAAGCATTCATCGCCATCGCCTTGTGAATTCTGTGCCAATGTTTCGATGGTTGAGCATTGTTTGCATTGGCAGTTTGATGCTTTCAGCCAGTTTGAGAGGCACCCTCCCTGCCGGAGCTGGTAGATTTGATGGAGCAACCCAGGCAGGATGTTTCAGACACTCGAGTTTGCAGGGACATTTTACGGGGGCTTGTGTGCTTGCCTGCCACCAGCAGCATCCTTCACACAGCATTTATTGCAACGGATTCCAGCTCGAATGGGAAGCTCTTCACAAACATGGCCCCCCTTCGGCGGGCCTGATGACCCATGTGCCCTGCTACGGAAGCGCACCAAGGAGGTTCATCGACTCAGTAAGCAAGGCCATTGGTCAGAGGCTCTTCAAATCCTTCAGAACCTGGACCACGAAGGCGTGCAGTTGGACCTTGGACTGATCTCGAGTGTGCTTGGGGCATGTGGTAAAGCTGTCTGTTGGCCAGTGGCCTTAGCACTCTTAATGCAACTGGATCAACGGAAGCTGGAGGCTGATGTGATTGTGCACAACAAGGCCATCAGCGCTTGCGCACGGGAAAGCCTTTGGGATGCCACACTGAGTTTGCTGCAGCACATGCATCAACAAAGGCTGGCTCCTGATGTTGTGAGTTTTACGTCAAGCATGAACGCTTGTGGGAAGGCCTACTTTTGGCAGTTATCATTGCAGATCCTCAAGGAACTATCCACCAATGCTGTAGAGGCCAACGAGATCACTTGTGCAGCAGCAATCGCTTGCTGTGAGAAGGATGGAAAGTGGCAGGCAGCCTTGGCTTTATTGGAGGACACCAGATCCTACGCATGTTCGGGTTGAGCAGGTTCAGGAGATTCTATACATTGATTTTGCTGTTGTGGCCACCTTCACTATTTTTACCTACTGTATGTGTCAACCATTTGTTTCTTCTCTCTGACTTGTCTTTGTTCGCCCTTGCAGGATCTACAGCAGCATTCCCTGGAAGAGAACCTCATCACCTACAGTGCCACCATGAGTGCTTGTGAGAAAGCCGGCCAGTGGGAAGCTGCATTATGGATCCTGCACGGCCTGGAGAAGTTGACGCTTCGAGCGGATGTCATCATCTTCAACGCTGCCATCAGCGCATGTGAGAAAGGTACTCAATGGCCACGGGCAGTGGCCCTACTGGAGGACCTACAGGTGAGACGTTTGCAGCCTTCGGTGGTGAGCTACAATGCCGCCATCAGTGCCTGCGGTGCAGGTGGAGAGGCGTGGCAACAGGGGTTGCACTTGCTGAAGGAGCTGCGGGAAATACGTTTGGAAGCAACGACCATCTCCTACAATGCAGCCATCAGTGCATGTGAAATAGGAGATCACTGGGAAATGGCATTAGC